GGGGGGGGGGAGGAAATGATAATTCGGGAACGAGAAAAGATAGGAAGCTGAGATTTTGAGGTTATGTTCCTCGTGCAAATATAACTCAAAGATTTCAAATTCGGCCCCCCAGGTGCGCGTGGTTCCCGCGTACGACCCCGTGAGATTTTTCGGCGGGAAAATGGCTAACTAGCAAAGCTGGGAAGCTGAAATTTTCAGGGAATGTTCCCAGTCTATGTACGACTTAAAGTCGTTAAATTCATCCCTCAAGCATGCGCGGTTCTCACGTACGGCCCCGCGAAATTTTTTGGCGGAAAAATGGCTAACTTAGGAACCAGCAGGCTGGGAGGCTGAAATTTTCAGGTAATGTTCCCAGCCATATACCACTTAAAGTTATCAAATTCAGCCCCAAGGCATGCGTTCTCGTGTATGAGCACTTAAATTTTTGGCGCGAAATTACTCATTGGATGGCTAGGTCATTTTCAAAAAACGACCGCTAAAACTGTAATATCGTTTATTTTGTTTTAAGCAAAGTTTACGATGATTTACGGTGTTGAGAGCGCAAGGTAGGTGTAAAGAAACAACCACTTATGAAGTCAACCTAATTACTTCAAGTTTGGTGCAAAAACGCGTGATCGCACCGGCTTGGCTGGTGCGTTCCAGCCTGGGTTTGGAATCGCACCAAAAGGGCATCTAAGCGTCACGCATAGGTATGCGTTTTGATGTTAACTTCATATGAAAAAGCGAGGCATATTCTTTCTCTTAAGAAATGCATAATCTAAACGTTTTACAGCGATAGTTTGTGAGTTAGAATTGTCTGTTTGAATCATAACATCCAATTTCCGTAGATTTAAGTTGCTCTCAGTTTTGACTTGGACAAACCTCAGAAGTGGGAACCATCAGTAGCTCTGCAACACGATTTCAGATGAAATCCATTTCTCCTTGTATAAAAAAAAAATGCGTTATGATTTTCGAATTTTGAGAACATAATGCATATCCACAGCATACTCCATGCCCCATTATTGCAGGTGGAAGCTCTAGTGACAAAGGGAAATGAGCATCTGGTGCATCATATGGAGCTGTTCGGATGCCAGAATCCAGGATATGATGTTGATTTGGTGTATGAGGGTGACTGCAATGACCCGCGTAAACCAATGGAGGCGCATGGATGTTCTACAGTCATTGCTGCATGGGCTATGGGTGCTGGTGTAAGTTTCTTTACTACATTCGATCTAAAGCGCATGCAGCCCTAGCATCGGAAAGACTGTTATAGCTGCGCTTGGCATATGGGGAGCATCCAAGTGATAGCTTATGGTTTTGATATTGAGAAGTCTGTCTAAGGTACTTTGTCGAAAAAAGTGTTAGGGAAAAAGCAAAAAATTGCTAAGAAAGTGTTTTGAGAGAAGCAACACAAACCTCCACACAGACATTTCTTTAAAGGATAACTTATTAAAACGAATTTTTCTTGCAGCCTGTGATTTAT